ATTCAGCTGCAGGAGGAAAATGGATGCCCTACATGCACACATAAGAAATATCTCACAGAGGTCCAGGCCTGGTGGGTCACCCTGTAATCCCAGCAATTTGGAAAGCTAAGGCGAGAGGATCCCTTGAGACCAGGAGCTCAAGACCAGCCTGGACAATATAACAAGACTACATCTCTACAAAAAATATTAAAAGTTAGCCAGGCACTGTGCCTCATGCCTGTAGTCATCACTACTTGGGAGGCTGTGGCAAAGAGATCACTTGGGGCCAGGAGTTTGAGGTAACCTGGGCAACATAGTGAGACCACAACTCTACAAAAAAAAGTTAACTTTTTTTTTTAAATTATCAAGAAATGTCAGCCGGGCTCAGTGGCTCAGCCTGTAATCCCGCACCTTTGGAAGGCTGAGGTGAGTAGATTGCCTGAGCCCGCGTGTTCGAGACCCGCCTGGGCAACTTGGCGAGACCTCATCTCTACAATAAACCAAAAATTCAGCCGGGCGTGGTAGCACATGCCTGTAATTCCAGCTACTTGGAAGGCTGAGGCAGAAGGATCACCGGAGCCCAGCTGGTTGAGGCTGCGGTGGCCGGAAGCAGCCACTGCACTCCAGTCTGGGCGACAGAGTGAGACTCCAACTCAAAAAAAAAAAAAAAAAAGAAAGAAAGAAATGTCCTACAGATGATATTATCACCTCCATATAAAGATCATGAAACTGGCCCAGCAAAGTTAACTGAACTGCCCAGGGTCCCATAGCTAGAAAAGAATGGATCTGAACATCAAATCTAGGTCCGTGTCCCTCCAAAATCTGCTCTCCCTCTACTCCACCAAATGGCCTTCATTTTCATGTCAATCAGGAGTCTGGGATTTAGACACTGTGATCTTTCATTTGTAACCACATCATATTTTAAATGCTTCTTAGTCTAGATGACTTGTGTGCCTCACATCATAAAAAATTTTCTTCATCCTCAGATCTAGGCACAATCAGTCACTGCTTCCTTATGAATATCTTTTTTTTTTTTTTTTTTTTTTTTGAGTTGGAGTCTCACTCTGTCGCCCAGACTGGAGTGCAGTGGCCGCTCCCGGCCACCGCAGCCTCGACCTGCTGGGCTCCGGCGATCCTTCCGCCTCAGCCTTCCGAGTAGCCGGAATTACAGGCATGCGCTACCACGCCCGGCTGATTTTTTGATTTATTGTAGAGATGAGGTCTCGCTGCCCAGGCGGGTCTCGAACCCGCGGGCTCAGGCAATTCGCTCACCTCAGCCTCCCAAAGGCACGGGATTACAGGCTGAGCCACTGAGCCCGGCTCTTATGAATATCTTACCCAACTACCCAACTAGACCAAATCCCCGAGCTCTTACGGTACCATATACCTCTCTTTTTAACACTTGTCACTATTAAAATAACACATTTCTGAAGTAACATGATTAATGTCTGGGACAGGATTCATGACTGGTTTTGTGCATCTTGCTAATCTCAGAACCAAACACACTACCTGGTATTTGCTGTGTGAATGAATGAATAAATGAATCTACCATAAAAACCTATTTTCTAAAAGAGATGTGAATTTTGGGCAGGGTTTAATGACCAGAGTTACATAAATATAACAACTGATTAATTCTCAAAGAATGATGGTAAAGGCAAGGAAGGGGATTTGACAAAATGCATTGCATTCTATTGTTAATTGTATGTCCAAGTATTTTAGTCTTCCATAAGTGTTGAGAGGAAGGGGAGAGGAAAGTCAGGGACAAAAAAGGACTAATCTCCTTATCGCATACCTGGATTCTACTTGTTAAATATAATTGAAACCTAATGGTGCTAGATAACCCCTATATATATAAAATAGTGATGCTCGAACTTTAGTGTGTATTAAGAAATATCTGAGACAATTATGAAATATGTAACTTCCTGAGGCCCACCCTGACCTAACATTCTGATTCAATTGGTCTGACTTAAATATTCTGCTTATCTGTAACCTACCCTGCCTGACCCCACACACACACTTTCTCTGATGAAGGCAGCTAACATGCACTCTTTAAGAAACATTATGTCAAAGTATTTTCTAGTTTAAACAGGGGACTGGAATGAGCTAAGCAATTCTAAATGTGTATCTGAGGTCCAGCCACCTTTAAAATAAGACCTTGTTAACCATATCCTCAGAAGTCCCAACAACCAAGTCCATTATTCCATGAGAAGGTATGTACCCACTGAAAATCCCAATGATATAAAAAGCATAGTCCTTCAAGTCCTTCTCTCCAAAGTACACTTTCAAACGTCTGCTGGTCATTTGAGATCGTTAGATCTCTATGTTTTCTGTTGGTCTAGGCCAAGCTGTCTGATGGGGTGGCCGACTTTCTCACTTAATGATATGTATTCCAGGCTCTGTCATGCCTTTGTTAAAACTGTGCTTACTGCCCTGTAAATTTTCATCAAAACACAGCTTTAAAAGAATTCTACTGCGATAAAGGAACATGCATTTCTTTGGGAATAGCTTTCACTTCATGCAATCTTGTGGAATTTTTTTTTTTTTTTTTAATGATTAAGTTCCCAAACTTTTGCTATTCCCCTACCCTACAAGCACTCTAGAAAAACTGACTCAAACTTGCAATCATTAGATTCAAAGACCATCCCTTCTCCCCTCCTTTATTTCCTAAAGTAAGTTGTCAATACTAAATCAAGACACTCCTAATAAACCAACTCAATTGTGTTTGCCAACTCAAACCAATTCAGTTTGTCAGGAGTGACTTCAGCAGTATAACCAGAAGAGGGCATCAGCATACAGCACTCCAAGAAGCAAGTCACTAAAATAGAAAAGAGGAAAAAAAAAAAAAACCCAAACCATGTAGTAATAGTAAATGCATGAATCTTGAAATAACACCCTTCTGTTGTGATATCTTTCTGGTCTCAAGTGAGTATCGGCAACTCTCTGTTTGGCTAATCACATTGACAAACTATGTCATCTCTCATGTTGCCAGATGAGAAATGCCAGGTAAAAATCACCACAGAATCATTCCAGCAATTTCTGTAATCACTCTCATGCAGGGGGTCATTAGGAATCTGTTGGACCAGCAACAGGTTGGAAAGACCTGATACTGTGCTTAAACTAACAGATGTAAATTTCAGGGGGGAAAAACCTAAACTGAGTTGTGCATACTCAACTTTCTAGAACCAATTAGATTCAATTAATGAGTGCCCATTATTTGGTAGGTTTTGCTTATGGGGGAGGAGGAGGTTAAATACAACTGAGATATATAACTTCCTAGGCCTGCCTTCAAACGATTTATAATCCAGTAGGTAAATACACCTATTGAGCTACACTATATTAGAACATTAGTGTCGAATGTAAGGAAACTGCTTATACAAATGCATATGTTGAATGTTTGCTCTGTGGGTACCACACATGGTGTGTAAAATCCCATTAATCCTCCAGCAACAATAAGATGCAAATGAAATACAGATGATGACTTTGAGGCTTAGAAAGAGGACAGCTTATCAGAGCTAGGGTGGGACTCCAGGCCCATGGAACCGCCAGCTTGCACACTGTTAACCTTCCATTTTAGGAGAAGGGTATGTTATCAGTTCTGCTAATTATAAAAATATAATACTTGTTCCCTTATGAAAATTATTTTGGTGTCCTGGCCTTCTGTTTCCCTTGGTCTTGCAATATAAGGAGCAGGTTCTGCAAACCATATGCATTATTTATTTAAAAAAAAAAAAAAAAAACCCAGTGAGGCGGTAAAGTTTCCATCAGGAGCCAACAGAGGGCAGCAACAGACAAACCAACCAACAAAACATCCTCTTGTGGACACTTCATCTCAATGCAGGGGCCTTCAGACCACGGACAGTGCAGGAAATGTGTGCAGGGCTCGAGAGCGCCAATTTCTTATCACCATTAAAACAAACAAGCAAAAAGACAAAGCTCACCATAGAGGAGACTAAAAATGTCCCCAGCTGGGATCAAAGTTCACTCAGAAAATGTCTCTTTTAATAAAGGGAATTCAAGGATGAGGGATGTGGTACTCCTTCACTAAGACTTTTGACATCCGTGAATGGTAAATATGCCCAAGAGCTTTTAGCCCAGAGCAGGGAGGATGCTTGCTTTCCCATGGGCTCTCACAGATGAGCTAGATGTAGAAATGCTAAGTGTCCACTTGGGACCTGAATGCACCGTGGCGACCGTATCCTGAAGGCGGGCCTGCAGCTGCAAGTGCCCACCCTGCACTGGCATGGACCGTGTCGGCACAGTGATGGCTGCCACTTAGGGCACCAGTGACAACGGCTGTGCCATTGGGAGATGAGGATTGCTCTACTGTGACTGGCACCTAGCAATCGAGCGCTCATTGCTTGTGACAGCATGTCACTCCTGTACTTGTCTGAGATGAAGAGAAGACTTTTCGAAGCAACCAAAAAGCACTCCTTCTACAGGAAGGGGTGGGGGGAAATGTGTAGCTTGATGTTGATCAAAATGCTGCAAAAAAATAAAGTGCTAAAATAAAAAGGCATAAATAAATGAATGTCTAGTCTCCCACTTCTGGCCAAAAGACCCATGATGTATCTGCAAAATTGGCAGTCTCAGCCAGGGCCAGTCACATTAGGTAAAACCTATAAAATTGCTGCCTTTCAACCAGTTTTGACCTACAAAAAAAAATAGCAATTGCATGTAGCTTAGCCCAATTATATTAGCAGTCATAATGGTAATAGCTAACCTTTACTGAGCACTTACTAAGTGCCAGGAACAGATTCTAAGTGCATTCCACGTATGAACTCATTCAGTCCTCACAGTAAGCCAGTGAGGCAAGTTCTAAGATTATATCCAGTGTGCCTATTAGATTATAGAGGACCAGAGAGGTTAAGAAAATTTCTCAAAGTCACACAGCCAAGAAATAACTAAATTCAGTTTGAACTGAATTCAGAGCCTCAGAGGTGAGGTCATGGTTAAATGGGGAGGATCTCTTTAAGGAAATAGGCTCTAGGGGACCAGCCTCACAGTCTGTTTTTCCTTGCCAGGTCAGTCAGTACACATTTGCCATGTGCAGTTATCGGGAGAAGAAAGCGGAGCCTCAGGAACTTCTACAACTGGATGGCTACACTGTGGATTACACAGACCCCCAGCCAGGTACCAACCCACCCTCTAGGCCATGAGCTCACAAAACTCTCAACCCTCATAGATCAATGGTCAATTAATATTTGCTGGACATTTACTCCATGCTAGGCACTGAGTCTATTTACTAAGGATTTCACCAGTGACCATGACAGTCACAGTCTCTGATCTTATGGAGTTTCCATTTTGATTGATTAAATGCCATCCCAATCTAGAGCTTTTACTCAAGGGATTATCTAGTTTAAAACCAAAAAGAATACATAAAGTATTTTTCTTATGCATATCTGTACCCACATTAAGAATGGACTCCACCATACAATGCTAAGAAATTTTTCAAAAAAGAAGTCCCACATGTACACCAAAACCCGTGTGTGTGTGTGTGTGTGTGTGTGTGTGTGTTGTTTTTCACCAGTGATGTATGAGTTTGGCAGATCTTATGCCTCTGTGACTGAGTGAACCTGCCTTCCCTACACATTTACACCCCATGGCTATAATTCAAGAGCTCATAAGGTTAGCTGATGGCACTTGAAAACCCTCCCTAAATATCTTTCTTCTAAGAAGACTCTGATCACAAGCATAGATGCTGAAGCCCCTAAGCTTTATGTAACTAAGAGAACCATACAAATGATAGTATTTCTTACAAGTTCTACACTGCATAAGTTCTACATCCTGCCCCCTCGCACCTCTCCCCAGGAAAAATGAATAGAAATCAGTCTCAAAGAACCTTCAAAATGGGGTGGGGGGTGCGAAATCATTTCAGCATATTAATGAACAACAAGCACCAACAGCCCTCTCCCGGAGAAGTTTATTTTTATGCCAAATCTGCACAAGGAAAGCATTTCCAACCATACTGCATTATTTGGCCCAAAACCTTTTTTTCTACTCCCATATTGCTCTTCCACATGCAACAAAATACACATAAAAGAAAAACAGAGTTTGAGAGAAGATGGGGTGTTAACCTGAAAAGGTGTGGCAGGGAAGGCCTTGAGCCCAGCTCACGTAGGAAAATTAGCACCTTCAGCATCTCATCCCTGAGTGACTTGGCCTAGTCCCACCCCTTCAGACTTTCGCCTACAATTCTGATCCTGCCAGGGCAGAATGCAGAGCTGACCACATAAGGCGTGAATTAAACGCTCTGCCTGGAAATCCTTCATAGTGAGTAGAACCCACGAGTTCGAAACAAACAATTTCTCGCAGCATCTCACGGAAAGGATCTCTGGCCTTAAAAAGCCAGTCCTCAGGACATTCTGGGATGGTTTGTATACTCAAGTCATTGGGTTCTCTTCGAAGAAAGTTCCTAAGACGTGCATTTTAAAGTGGGAGGCTAAGGAGCCAGTATGAGAAAGAAAACCAATACCATCTCATGACAGTAATTGTTCAAGCCAGTTCATTCCTCCTTCCCTCCTATGTGATTGCATTTAGCTCTCAGCACAATCCCTCAGAGTGGATAGGATCAGGATCACTATCCCAGTTTATAAGTGAAGAAACTGAGATTCTGAGAGATCAAAGGCTATTGTCCAAGGCTGCCCGGTGGCCAAGTTGGAACTAACACTTACGGTAAAACATAGCTGTGTGAATGGTTATAGCAAAGCTACCGTTGTGATTTTATCACATGCAAGCAGAATTCTCTTCCTATGTTGGTGGAGGCAGGAACCCGGAGAGAGCTATTCTATCTGCATGTGTAAGGGGTAACTGTGCACATATATTTTAAAAACTTCTTTTATTTCTTTTTACATCAATCCCATGGGATATCATATAAATTCCTTTACGAAAGATGTAAAATGTAAATTGGTTATGTTCTTTAGAATAATAAGCAACTTCTTCTATCTTTCCATGTGCTGAGCCCTATTTATTCCCCCAAGTAATATTTGATTACAAATGGGGACTTAAATACTCCCAATTATCATAGGAAAAGCTAACTCAGAATTTTTTAAAGACTGCTTGTCAAAGTAAAAGTTCTTGGGCCCCATTCCTAACCTGTGAGCCAGGAGAGAGGACAGAGGCCTCATACTTAAATAAGCACTGTAAAGGATTCCTGTGCACAAACTTGCCACCTGGAAACCCGGATAATGTGCATTTTAGCTGGTGTCCTCAGAGATTCGAGTCTCCTCACCTGCTGTAAGGTGAGCTATGTTTTACCGTAAGTGTTAGTTCCAGCTTGGCCACCGGGCAGCCTTGGACAATAGCCTTTGATCTCTCAGAATCTCAGTTTCTTCACTTATAAACTGGGATAGTGACCCTGATCCTATCCACTCTGAGGGATTGTGCTGAGAGCTAAATGCAATCACATAGGAGGGAAGGAGGAATGAACTGGCTTGAACAATTACTGTCATGAGATGGTATTGGTTTTCTTTCTCAAACACAGAGGACTTTGGACTATTTTTCCCTCCTACTCTTGGCTTCATCCAGGTTGCCAGTGAACCCAATTGGCGGAAAAGTTTATGAGCTAAGTACTCTTGCAGCCCATTTCTCTCTACCATAGGAGGGAGGGATTTAACTAGATGTCCTTGCCTTAGTACCAGCCTGGGATCCAGATGGTCACCCAGACACAAGCATTTGTGCTAAATAAACCCTACCTGTTTGGTCCCTGAAGTGTTAATTTGGCGAAGTAGTAAATTACCTTATGTAAATTTTACTTATAAGCTACTCCTTTTATGCTAAAAATAAAAAGTGCTTCAATTTACCTATCCCTGGGTATGGTTTGGAGAGTATACAACAATCTCTCAATTCTTATCAGATTAAGTCTACAAATAAAAGGAAATTCATCCAGAATAATTCAATGGCACAATTTATCAAACAACTACATTAGTCTTGGACAACTCCTAGAGACCTCTTTTACTCCGATAAATAGACCTCAGCCACGCAAGTTGTTGGAACAGCAATCTCTCCCCGCAGGGAGCCGGCCAACATTACCTGGCCTGGTCCCCTCATCCACTCCTAGATGCATCCTCTTGCTCCTGGCAGCTCAGTATCTGTGGACTATGTTCATCACTCTCCATGGACAGCCCATGCAATGTCACTTATCACATCCTGTAGTTTCAGTCCTCAGGAATTGCTACTTTTTCTGACTCTACCGCCCTTGCCACATGTGTGAATGTTCACTTGGCTTTCTCCTCCCTTGATTCCCTTTCAACTATCTTGCTCTTCTCTCTCCTTCTTGCTTGCATTGGTGTGTCCTCAGCCTCTCATACTTCCTGAAAAAGCTCTGTGGCTCTCTGCTGCTGTCCTTGTCATTGCTGCTTTTGCTTTAGATGTTTCTCTTTGCCCTCACTCACGTCATGATTAGGTTTCATTCTGTTGGTTAATAATGACCTTTCCGAGAGCTGTCAGTGCATGCCAGGCCATGGTGTTTGTGCTTTGCAGCAGTATAGCACCGCCGTTACCATCGTCAGCTCTGGAGCCAGACAGTCAAGGTTAGAAGCCCAGCTCTAACACATACAGTCCAGCTTTGTATCCATGGGTTAGTTACGACCTTCCCCGTGACTCAGTTTCCTCATCTGTAAAATAGGAATGATAGGTCTTATAGGGATGTTGAGAGAATTAAATAAACATATGAAAGCTTCTCAGCATCTTTCTATCTCTGCTTCTGAGTAACTGCACAATGGAGAGGGCTCTCCACTCCCCAACTCCATGGCCTGATTTTCTGACAGCTGCTCCAGGAACACAGTATCCCATATACAGGCCCTGGGGAGGGGAGTAATTGGGACCAGCAAAAATGCCCTCTGGTAATGTCTATCCTGGTATTCCCTGAGTGTAGCAAAATAGCTTGTCCTTAAGGTTACCATGAGACTAGACTACTGTTGACTCACTCTTCCTTTTAACTTCTTAGTACTCACTTTTCAGGTTTAAAGCATCCCTCAAAGCTCTCTCTCCTCCTTCCTTTCCAGAATTTTTCTTTTTATTATGCCATCCATTAGGTTTATAAGGTTTTCCCAGCCTGCCAAATATACAACATCCTACTCAAATTATATATTTAAAACTTACCATAAGAAATGAGGCAAAATATTCCCTCATCATTATAACGACCAAAAAACTTCTATTAAAGCTGTATCAATATGATATTACCAGACCCTCCATATAAAGATATAGCTACTTAATGTCCCCAATCCCTGGCCACTCCAAGTACAAAACTACCAACACACACTTACTCTTGCAGAATAGACACCTCAATACTGTCAGCACAATGAAGAAGTCTTAACATCACCAGAAACCTTTGCCAATGACAAATGTCAAGCATGTTACTGACTGGACCTCATTGGAAATTTGGAGATGCTAATTAGTCCTTTATTCTCCTCCCAGTTTTTAAGTAATAAATGGAAAGATGATGAGGGATTTGATGAAGAAATGAAGCATTACTTCTGGCTAGAGAGTACCCAGCAGCCTAAAATACAAGTTTCTGGAATATGTTGATGAGCATGATGTAGATTTGGCCTGATCCCAAAGAGAAGCTCCCACCTAACTCTCTCTAAATTTGAACCTTGAGAACCATTTATGGAAAAAAATGAGTATATCGTGTATTATGCTTGTTTAACAAATATTTGTTGAGCAGCTACGATATACCATGCACTATTCTGGGCACCAGAGACACAGCAGTGAACAAAACAGATGAAAACTCCCTGACTTTATGAAGCAAAATAAATCATATAGTTTGCTAGAAGGTAATCAGAGCAAGCTAAGCAAGATGAGATAGATAGGTAGCAAGGGAAGGAAGTCAGGGAAGGCCCCAACAGGAACGGGACATTTGAGCAAAGACATGAAGGACGTAAGGATGTGAATTGTGCAGATAGCTGGAAGAAGAGTGTTCCTGGGACAGAGAACAGCACGTACAAAGGTCCTGAGGTGAGAACATGCTTGGAGTATTCAAGGCACAGCAAGAGGCCAGTGTGTCTACAATGAAGTGAGTACACATATGTGCAGAGGGGTAGAAAGTGTTAGAAGAGGAGTTTAGAGATGATGGAGTGCTAACTCATGTGGGGTTTTGCAGACCTTGTCAGAACCTAACCTTTTCATCTGAGTGGAATATGGAGACACTGGTGGGATTTGAGTCAGAGAGTGACATGATTTGCCTCTTCTGCTAAATTGAGGACTCTGGCTACCATGTAAGAATCAACTATGGAGAGTGAGGATGAAGACAGAGCAGATGAAAGAAAACTAAAACGATCTAGGTGAGAGATGATCAAGAGTAGATTTGAACTGGCAGCCCTTGAAGTGGAAGAAGTAGTCAAATTCTGATAAATGTCCTAAAGGTAGAACCATCAACATTTCATGACCCCTTGGAAGTGGGAAAGTGAGGAATCAATATTGAGCCCAGGATTGTGGGCTTGAGCACCCAGACAGAAGAGTTCAGCTTTACTGAGATGGAGAAGAGGTTGGGGAGAAAGACCAGGAGTTCAGTGTTGAGTATGACAAGCTTGGGATTCTATCAGATATCCACATGGAGAAGTCAAGAAAGCCAGCAGATACTTATGTCTGCAGTTCAAGGGAGCAGTCCAGGGGGGAGGTAGAAATGTGAGGACCATCAGCATACTTGTGGTATTTAAAGGCTGGATAATGGGATAGATAAAGAAGAGAAGAAGGACAAGGATAGAAGACCAAGATGTGCCAATATTTAAAAGTCAGGAGGAGGAATCGGCAAATAAGATTAAGAATCAGCGGCAGAGAGGTAGGGGGAAAATCAGGTTTTCTGGATGCCAAGTAAACAAAGTGCTTTGAAGAGAAAGGAGTAAGTGTCTGAAGCTGTTGAAAAGTTGACGGGTCCAATAAAATGAGGACTTGAGTTGTTCATTGAATTCAGCAATGTGGTGGCCTGGACAAGTTTCAAAAGGGCAGCAGCCTGATTGGAGGGACTAGAAGGTAGATAGGAGGGAAGAGACCTTTGTCACTCAACCTGTGGTCCTCAGACTGGTACCATCTGCATCATCTGGGAGCTTGTTAGAAATGCTGAATCCCAGACTCCATTCCAGACCTATTGGATCAGAAGCTGCATCTTAACAAGATGCCCAGGGTGTTCACATGGATACTAAAATTTATGAAACTTTGATGGAGATCTATCTTTCATTGCAAAGAAAAGAGCAGGACAGTAACTAAAGGGAGAGGTAGGGTAAAGAGAGTCTTCTGTTGTTGTTGCTTGTTTTTAAAGACAGAAAAAAAAATAGTATGTTATAGGCAGATGTTTGCCCAGCCAGCAGGCAGTCTGCTTGACGGTTCTGTCCCCAGCAGGTCGCAGAAAGAAACAAGAGCCAGGCTCAGCACCTCTTTAGCATCACAGTCCCACTTGTGGCCAAGCTGGTCTCAGACTTTCCATCCTAGGCTAATCGCTCCTCCTCCCCTCTGTCCCAAGAAAAAGCACCAAAAACCACTTTTCTGAGGGCTAAGTCCTGCTGAGAACATTGCAACTCAGCTGAGCAGAAGTTGTTACTCCTTTTTCTTCCAGGATTGGAGGGTGGCCGAGCCTTCTTCAATGCAGTCAAGGAAGGAGACACCGTGATATTTGCAAGTGACGATGAACAAGATCGCATCCTGTGGGTCCAGGCCATGTATCGGGCCACGGGGCAGTCACACAAGCCTGTGCCCCCGACCCAAGTCCAGAAACTTAACGCCAAGGGAGGGAATGTGCCTCAACTAGATGCCCCCATCTCTCAATTTTGTAAGTAAATATGCCATTTCTTAAAAGTAGCTGTGTAGAGCAAAGCAAATCTTCCAAAACTGATTAGAAAATCTAGTTGCTTTTATACTTAAGCTTTATAAAATCATGTTTGCTGAAAACATAGTGAATTCAGGGTGGAAAGTTGGGACTAATGTTAGATTAAAATAATTTTAAAGTGCAATACTTGACCTTCTGCCCCAAGGACTGAACAAAGAAAAGTATATTTTAGGTGGATTTTTATCTCTTTGTTTTGGTGAGTTTGGAATTTACAGCCAAGCATGTATTTGTTTGAGTCCTTCAAATATAGTAGATTGTGTATGTCCTTGCTTCATTTCTTCCTATTAAAAGTAATTTAAAAATAGGGTTGACTTGAAATCAACTTAAATCTGCAATTTAGAACCATTTAAAAATAAATGATGACATTATCACATGCAGTGAAAAAAAACAAAACATGGTACCTAAAATCCCATTTTGAGCTAAAATACCAGAGACCCAAAAATGAAACCGTTTCCTTAAACAGCCCCTGTTCATATTCCAGTTTTTCTCCTCTTACCTCTGCATCCATTTAATTTCTTGCCCCTTTGTCATGTCTTCTTGCTATCTAATATGACTTTTATCTGCCAATTCTTCTGATATGGTAAAGTAAAAGCTAATGTATGCTTGAAAGCATTTATTAAAACAAGAAAATGAGATATAAAGCGTCAAACAAAGTAATTCATCTTAGTTCCAAATATTCACCCTAAATAGAGACCTTTGCCTTACCCTGGATATCAAGTCAATTAGGGATAACTCAGGTATCAGTCATTTTTTGCAATATTAATTATTTCTAACTTGAGTGTGGAACCCACACATGCAGTCTAGTTCATTGAGCAACTGTCTAGAGATAAAACATATGGATAAGGAGGAGGACCAATGAGGTGCCTGCTTTCATAATACCTTCATCTCAGTGGAGGAGTCTAGACAACAAATCAATGAGATTGTTTTAGACATTGGTAAATATCATGAAGAATGCCATTGAGGAGTGACTGAATGAGGCCAGGGGCCATGAAGGTAGATAATCAAAAAAAGCCTTCTCTGAGCAGAAGCACAAATGATAGGGAGTCATCCCTGCAAATGTTTAGAGGAAAGAATTGGCAGCAGAAGGAAAAGGAAGTGCAAAGGCCCTAAGCAAAAGCTTAACCTCTAACACAGTGCTTACAGTCTCTCCTCTATTGCTCTTAAAATTTGGATATGGGCTGGGCTTGGTGGCTCAGCCTATAATCCCAACACTTTGGGATGCCAAGGTGAGTGGATTACCTGAGTCCACAGGTTCAAGACCAGTCCAGTCAACTTGATGAGACCTCATCTCTACAATAAAAATAAAAAAATTATCCGGACATGGTAGCATACACCTATAGTTCCAGCTACTTGGAAGGCTGAGGTGGAAGGATCGCTGGAGCCCAGCAGGTCTCGGCTGCGGTAGCCGGGAACGTATCATTGCACTCCTGGGTGACAGAGTGAGACTCCAACTCAAAAAAAAAAAAAAAATGGATATGGATATGGATGGAATATTTTTGCAACTCCAGCACCTAAAAAGAAGTAAATTTTCTTTTCAAATGTACCCACTGCCATGTCCATTTCTGCCTGACAAGACTGTATTCTTAAATTTTGCAAAGCCCTTGCTGATCAGAAAATATAACTTTTGGGGAAGGACCAATTCTATCCATCAGGTGTTCCCATGAGTTCCTGTCCAGGACTGATGGTTTCTTAAAGGAAGAGCCAAGCCCTTGTGAAACATTGTAAATAACCACACAATTATGATGGGTTTCCAAGCAGAAAAATCATGAAAGACTAAGAAAGAGATTAAACTGGAACTTGAGGGAAAAGGGACAGCCCTCCTGCCTACAACCACCACAGAGTTCCCATTCTCTTTTTGTTTTCTCTGACATCTTCTCACACTTACGTTTATTTGAGAACAATAATGGGAGCAGAAGTCATTAGTTAAGATAAAGCATGCCTAATATTTGTTTAATTTTTCTAAAAAAAATTAATAATAACTGTAAGCCAGGTATGGTGGTGCATGTCTGGAGTCCCAGCTACTAGGGAGGAGGATGAGGCAAGATCACTTGAGCCCAGGAGTTCAAGGCTGCAGTGAACCATGAGAGCACCATTGCACTCCAGCCTGGGCAATAGAGTGAGACTCCATCTCTAAAAAAAAAAAAAAAAATTTTAATTAAAAAAGAACTATATGGTAGAATCCCTCCTTTCTCCTTGCCTGACATACTCTCTCTTTTTTTTAATACATTGCAAAACAGCACACCCTATTATATCCAGCTGAAATGGAATTATCAGCATATCCAGGAAAAACATGTATCTCAGGTGATATTTGGAAAATACTGGTCTTATTTCCAAATAATTTCCTTTTCTTTGAAGTCATTTCACCTTACATTCAGCATGCCTGTTCTGTCATCTGCCCAGAGTAAGAAATTGCTGCAAGGTTTGTGATTGTCTCTCCTTTTTCCTCATTAGCATAAGGAAGAGGAAGGACATTCAGGGATAAAATTAAGTGGCGACCAGAAACTGATTAGAAAAAGAAAACTAAAGCCGGGGTCGGTGGCTCAGCCTGTAATCCCGCGCCTTTGGGAGGCTGAGATAAGTGGATTGCCTGAGCCCGCGGGTTCGAGACCCGCCTGGGCAGGCGAGACCTCATCTCTACAATAAATCAAAAAACTAGCCGAGCATAGTGGCATGTGCCTGTAGTTCCAGCTACTTGGAAGGCTGAGGCGGAAGGATCACTGGAGCCCAGCAGGCTGAGGCTGCGGTGGCTGGAAGCGGCCACTGCACTCCAGTCTGGGCGACAGAGTGAGACTCCAACTCAAAAAAAAGAAAGCTAGTGATGGAAGCTACTGAAGGGGAGCTAGAAATGCACAGGGGTTCTTTATTTAGCACACACATACACACCTCTCCCCCCCACCCCCCGCCATGCCTAGGATTCATTTAGTTACAGAATTAAAATACCAGTCATTAGGCATCAGCAGGAAAATTCCATTGAATATTCATGACTTGATGTATGTCACTCCCCTGGTAGGTGAAATGTGGACTTTAATTATATGGGGCATCCAAAGCAAAATCCTATGGACTCGAATTTGGGGGGTAAATAATATCTTCTCTCGGGAGTATGTGAAGTAGGCTGTGAGGTGAGTAAGAAGGTCAGATAAGACACACCTCTGGGATTTTCAGTACCTGGTGGTACTGTTGTCTCCTTTATCACTGCTCAGGAATGGGAATTCTCCAAGGAGAATGAGGCCCTACCACATCTACTGGGTTCCATACAAACAAGGCCACAACAAGCAGCTATGCAGATGGTGTACTACAGAGGCTTCTTTCAAATGTATAAAAATGTGAATGGGCCATTAAGTTGTGCAGTGCCCCATCTGTACAACTGCACATGGTGGCCCTGTAATAAATGGCAATCCTTACCCAGAACTTTAATCCAATAGTGTTGACCCTGGGGCCAGCATGTTACTTTATTATCCCTGAAACAGGACCTCAGCACTTCTCCAGATACTTTTACTAGTTTAGGCACTTAATAAAAACTGCAAGCAGAGTACCAGCAAGTGTGACTTCTCTTTTTCATAATTTAGAAACCAGCAGAGAAAAACAGTTAGGATTTAATCAGCCCAACCTTTGCACCTGAGTAAGAAGATCCAAAAAGGAACTAGGACTTCTGTGGTTTCACTGGGTAGTTATGCACAACATGCAAAAACAAACAAAAAGGCTGGAGGTGACAGAGTACGATCCTCCCTCAGTATCCATGAGGAATTGGTTACAGGACCTCCCTCAGATACCAAAATCCACAGATGCTCAAGTCCCTGATATAAAATGGCATAGTGTTTGCATATAACCTATGGACATCCTCCCACATACTTTAAACCATCTCTAGGTTACATATAATACCAAATACAATGCAAATGGTACGTAATAATTGTTATGCTGTACTATTTAAGGAATAATGTCAAGAACAAAAGTCTGTACATATTCAGTACAGACCCAGTTTTTCCCTGAATGTTTTCGATCCACTGTTGGCTGAATCCACAGAGGCAGACCCACAGTTATGGAGGGCTGACTGTATATCATAATTTTTGGTGGAATCTGACATGATGGTAGTTAGTTCACAATTATTTCACAGCTGCTTTCTTAAATTCAAACCATCACTATAAAACAGATCAAGCCTTATATATGGGTAACTTCATCAAGTTCACAATGTTGATTCATACTTAGGGTAACCAACTAATCCTGGTTTACCCAGGACTTTTTTAGCACTGAAGGTCCCATGTCCCAGGAAATCCCTGAGTCTTGGGCAAACCAGGATGGGTTGGTCACCAGGTATAACAAAGCAAGAACAGTGAAAAACAGTCATAACAGTTATAAATAGCAAACTTTGATCTTGCCCTTATATTTGATTGCCAATCTATACACTGATTTTTTAAAAATCGTCACATCACAAAAATTAAGTCAATCATAGATTCTCCAACTAACAAAAAAAGTTTAAAAAAAAATCAAGTATTGCATTTTAAAAAGGTTTCCTTGACTTCTAAAAGGTAAGGGTCATTGTTAACTACTTAACTCTGTATACATCTCATTAAATCTTGTTTTTGAATGTTTGCTCAAAGTACTTGCCGTTCTTGCTAGTGAATAATTTTTAAGAACCACAGCTTTTCAATGACTTAACTTTGTAATTGCTTTATTAGTATTTACAAGGCAAAAAGAAGCTACATAGGAAAAGGAAGCAACATAGAAATATTTTGGGGGTAGAAGAAAATAAACACTCCAGTCTTGTCATGCCGTTGTCTGTTCAAGGAAAACTTAAGAACGGAACATTTTTATAGTTTGGAAAACTTGAGAGTAATTGTGAGTTTATTTGGGTCTTTCTAAATTCAGTTTAGCAGACTTCTTGGTGTAGTTTTTATTTTTTGCTATTTTCAAATGAAAAGACACGTCTAAGGAAGAGTGGAGTGGAGTATTTATATGGAATTGTAAAAACTGAAAAAATAGATCCTGCTATTCATTAGTTTGTGTGTGACTCTACAAAGATTTTGGGAGGGTTCCACCAACCTTTAAAACTTTTTTGTTCTTTTGTAGTTTTTTGTGTGTGTGTCGTTGTTGATTTAATTTTTTTCCTTTTTTGTTAAAATTTCAAAAAATTAAGCCAGTACCTAGCTATACAACCTTTTTAAAACAAATACTTACAATTCTCTGATTTTTAAGGCAAATATTGCTTACCTTGAAACGATGTTCAAATCTGTAGTTGAGTGTTCCACAATTTATTATGCCAAATGGCCTCTCATTAAGACACCTTTTCCCTGTCCATTATGTGTTAATGGAACAGTAAAAACCGGTACCTCAATTCTCAATTGGAATGGGGTGGGAAGAAGGGAGTTTTTTCAGCTTTGACATTTGGTCAATGATTATTTAATATATCACTTGCAATGAGTCATTTTAATGTCTGTTTCTCAACTAATAACTATTAATGCATCATGGATCCCCAAAGTTGGCTGTTTTTGAGAATTGTTCTATTTTTACTACCACCTGAACTGTCTTCAACAGTTAGGGGGATTTTGGTTACTGTTGGTTTGGGGGAGGTTGATTTTGTTTTTTGTTTTGTTTAAGTTTTCTTGTTCAATCTTTGCTCGAACCCAAGAACTTTAGCTGCTAGGTTAGAACTCCTGTCTGCTTTCCTGAGCCTTGTTGCTAGTCTTTATGTTATTCTGGTTTGTTCCTTCTTACCCTGCTAACTTCTAGCTGGACTGAAGGGTAAGTGCTCCCCTATAGCTAGCACAGCTCAGATAATCAGACTAGATTATCTGACACCTGCAATGTGCTTCCCCCCCCCCTTAAATCTTCCTCATGTCTAGACTTTGTAGTAAAACTTTTCATGTTATTTTCCTGACCTTAGGATTGAAATGTGAGCTTCCATACTGAAACTAGGATGCATGTGATGTGTGCATAATTGCCTCCTCTCCTTGGCTTTCATATTGGCATCAAATGATCCTCTGAGTAAAGCCAACCATTAACATCTCCTAATTTTTTTTCATTCCAAGAATATTAATTAACATCACAACAAAATGGCAAATACTGCCTTTGTTTCATGGAATTCACAGCTACCTGACTGCTTAATGCCTGAAAACAGATCATTTTGCACTCTGATAATATGTTGTTGTTGTTGTTATTGTTGTTTTTCCTTTACCATTCCAAAGATTAGAATGGTCAGTGTACCAATGGTGTGGTAACCATGGATACCTTAACAAATAGGAAGGTGGGGCAGGAAACCCAAAGATGTTAACTGACCAAGATTTGAAGAAATTGCAAAATACAATTAAGAAAGTAAATGCATCATTTGAACACTAAAGAATTCATTCTACCTGGCTTAAGGGTGTGCTCTAACATAAGACCCAATAGAGGATTAATTTTGAAAGGAGAGCCACAATGCATGGGACTACCACACACAAAAACAGGAAATTAAGGACATGACTGAGTCCATGTCGCTTACTTACAAATGCTTTGGATTCACAATCTCACAATGCCAAGGAGGGTTTTGACCTCTGGTCTCAAATGTCGTTCTGCTACTCCACCAAGAACAATGACAACAATAACTTTTTTGACATCATTTGTATTTGTATTATTTGTTCTAAAAATACCTGTGTAAGAGAAAATAAAACTTTGAAACTTTAGAAAAATCTTTCTCTTCACTATTTGAGTTATTAAAGAGAATATATAATTCCTTTAATCACACAAGAAAAAGCTATTCACCAAAAATGTGTTGAGGAAAGACTTGACATTAGAGGGAGCTAGAAAAACTGGTCAAGAGAGCAGGCAAATATGTATTTGAGTATTCTGAATGCCAATTTAGAAGATGTAGGTCATATCATTTCTCCTGACCATTTAATAATAGTCCTTTCTTCAAATTTTTTTTGTTTCTTTCTTTAATTTGCTTTTTCTCCCTTTCTTTCTTTTTTTCTTTTATTTTGCATAAATGTACCCCTGGCTAGCAGACAGATTTTTTTCACCACTCCAAGCAGATACTTAATTTAACTGTACTTTCCTTTGAATGTCTGATGAGGCATTTTTAAAAAGCTTATCATAGAATGTAAACTTAGTGGGAATTTAGGATTTGCTACTTTTTTTAAAGAATGAAAGAAAGGATGGATGAATACATGATTGAATGAATTATGTTCTAAAAGAATTTACGTGTATTTGCATAACAACGCATTGCTATCCTAGTAGATTTTCAAATAGTTGTTTGCCTTACTTCCTTTCTATAATTTTATCTTATGAGATTTTTGCTATATCTTCTTGTATTGTCAACTTGCAGTTGCTATGTTGCAGGAATGCAATATCAAATTATTAATTCAATATTAACTTAATTTGCATGACCCAAAAACATACAGTAAATCATATTCCTTTTCATTGTAAAGTAAATGACCTTTTTAAAAGTATAGACTTCCACAATCAAATCCAAAATTTTCCAAACATCATGTTATGATCTAAATAGACCATATTAAATAAAGGTTCACTTCTTTGTTAACTACTTCAGACATATTTAACATATTATTCCCTAGTTACTTGAGTATTTTCATGCCATATAGTGATTTATAGTAAGATGCTTACTTACTAATTAAAGTGTAGAAAATTTATTTTTCCTCATGTTGGGGTGAGCATAAAACATCAAATACTTTGTAGACTGCTTGAAAATGTAAGAACTACAGCAGGAAAAATTACAAATCATTTATTTGTTTTGTTTGAGATCATTGACAAAATCTCTGTTATGATTTTTTACCCAAAGCAACTGTCTTACAAAGAATTATAGAAATTAGCACTGAAATAAACATCACATACCTATTCTCTTGGGAGTATTGCAATAGTAGTTTCAAATTCAAGATTTCTGAAAAATGCAATGTGGCCCTTGATTGCTTCCAAATAAGTCATTCTATCTTATCATTCACATTAGTTTAGTTTAGTCGAAGGGACTATGAAGGAATTAAATAGTTTCTCAGTTAAGTGGTCCACTGTATGCCTCCAGGCAACAAGCATGGGAGGACCAGTCTTTTGCTTGTCGTGAAGAACTCAGGCAGGGCACAACATCCCCTGGTTACTTGACTATGCCAAGAAAACTCTTCTAGAAAAATCCGTAAACAGCCAGCTGCCATCAATCATTGTCATTTCTTTATTTCATGTCTTCTGATGAGGCTGACTACTGTCCTTGTTCGTTATTGTCCAAACCATACATCACTCTTGTACTGTCAAGCAGATATGACAAGCATACATTTTCCGTATAAGAAAGATACAAAGTCACCTTTTAATTTGCAGTTTGGGTCCACAGATGATTTTAGAGTTACATTATCTAATCTCTTGCCTCTAGCATCTATCAGGAGTAGCAACTGCCACAACTGTGCTCTAAATTTCAGTGATAAAACAGCTACCTCTAGCTTATTATAGAAGGTATTCATGAAAGAGAAAAGCCTCTTTCAGAAAATTTGTTAAAATACTATCTTAATTATTTTCAACAGCAGCATTTCTTTCTCACGAATCCATAAAAATTTCCAAAATGTAACATTACAAAATTCAAAGGGAGATTTGACTTTTTGTCTTCAGTTACTTAGATATTAGAATAATAGAACATTTCAACAAAATACAAATTTGAAAATGATGTTACTTATCCAAGAAAATTACATTTATTTGGTAGACATTATTGTAAACCTATCTAAATATATATATGTCGGAAACAAGATCACATAAGGATGCTTGCTATTAAGATAAGAGATCATGAAAAATAGTATATCTTTTTTTCCATTTGTGAGGGAGGAAAAAAGGACAAGCATATCAAGCATGAGATGAACCCAAATATCATGATCAATTGAAAAACATCAGAAATGGCAGAGTAGTCAATTAGGGACTGCATCACTTGAATTTTAATGAAGTAGATTAAATGAGAGTATAAAACCCACATAACGATTTCACTTTAGGAACCAACATTTTAAATGCCAAACCAAAATTGTTTCCAAGCAAACTTGGGGTCAAGGTTTAGACAAGTTTCCATCTGAGAGTGTTCCTGCTCTCTGTAAGTCTGTGTTCATCATCCTGCTTCTGTGTTGTGGATACCATTGGTAGTGCCTTGAGTTTCTTCATGTAGTTTAGGTGTCCATATCAGCGCTATTCACCTAAGTTTAGTTTGAGGGCAGTCTCCTAAGCCCATGCTATAAAAGACTGCAAAATACTCATGCAATTAAACCCTACAAGTGTAACATGTTTCACATGTTTGAAGATGTGTTGAATTATGCCCTAACTGCAGAGCCTATAAAATCACATAGCCCACTTTCAGTCTATCAGTACATTTGGAGCCGTCACAGACCAAGCAGTACTTAGAAATTACTCCCTAAGGTCAAGTGTAGCAAAGATAAAAGTTAAAGTTGGCTCTTAAAATGTAGTCAGTCTTTTATTTCTAAAAAGCAAAACAAAACAAAACAAACAAAAACCCAGGAATGAAAAAGAGCATTAGTATGCATCTCCCAAAGCAAGAGATAATCCAAACATCACAGGAGTTTTATGCGGCCACTTTATCCTCCTAATTCTATCTTGCTTAACCTAATGTTCAAATTCATTTTCATTCTCTTGACACATGCCAAACATTGGCAAAGGAAGTGATCCCAGAGTGTCCTGAATTTAGGAAATGACTCTTTTATACTTTTTGCTCTGGGCTGTTTTCCCCCTGCTAACGTCAACATTGACGTTTTCTTTTTCTTTAATCAACCAATTCCAATTGTTTGTACAAGGAAAATGGAGTTGCAAGGAGCATTTATTTTTCAATGTTCAACACTGTGGAAGAACAGACCGGGACAGTGCAAGAATGACTATATGGTGTTGCTTGGGAAGCGCCCACAAGTTCTTTGAAACAGAATTTGGAACAGCTGGACCACTGCAGTGTTTTATTTTAAAATAGACAACATATGTAATGCATATGGTCCTAGACATGTATGGAGACACAGGCAGACAATCTGAATGGTATCCAAAGACACCTGCACCTAGAATTCTGTTTCCTTCTATAAGCTTTTTTTCCCCTAAGAGCACATGTTCCCACTTTTGGATTTGCAAGATACCATCTGAATCCCCATGTGTGTGACTCCTTAATAAAGTCAATGGGGGGAAGTTTCCTGGGATGGAGATGTCAGAGTATGTCAGTTAATAGCCACTTCCTTAGGACCTGGCTACTCTAGGGGCTGGCTGGGGAAATAACAGATCTGAAACTTGCCCTCAAGGAACATATGATCTACCAAATAATTCAATAGTATATATGTGTCCTAATCATATATTGGAGAGATTGGAACATTGCCCATCAAAAACACAGAGACAGGACAAAGGAATTGGTTATACAGGGGCAGAAAAGAAACATAAAGCAGAGAGATTGGGAAGGACTCCCAACTTCCTAGAATCAATATGGCTTAAGAAGCAAGAAAGGGATAGAACATTAGCTATAAGTGCAGAGACATCCTTGGCTCACTAACAACTTAAAACAAACTGGCTTTCTGAACACTAAGAAGCCTGCATGTTTACTGCTAGCTAACGTTTACTGAGTCCTTACTATGTGCCAGGCCCCCAAGTGCTTTCCAGGCGCTTCTCCTTAGATCCTCTCTGACAGCCTCTGAGGGCAGATTTGAATATGACCTTCAGTTCACCAACAAGGACAAAGAGGTTCAGATGCTTTAAACAACCTGCCTCATATCACATACCTAGTGGCCTCAAATCTGGTCTTTGTGACCCCCCTCCCAAGCCCACCCACTTAACTACTACTATTCTAGTTCCTACCAAATAAGGTATTCCCAATAAATTTAGTACATAAATATTCCATAAAATCAAGAAACAAGTTGCTGATAGAGTTAATTTATTTATTTTGATGAATAAATTCATCATTTTAACAAATATGTATTGAGTGCCTACTATGTACTGGATACTGCTCTAGGACTGGGAATATAGCAGAAAAAAAAATACAAAAATCCCTGCTCAGATGGAGCTTAAAAATCAGATGTCTTTCACTGACACCTTGAAATAGCACTCCTGGGCTACCCCTCCTTCTTTTTCTGATTTTAACAAGCTCAATGAAATGCAAAGATTCTGTGGGAGCCAGCCACCCCTTTAAAGTACTCTTGAGTTGTTGGAACCATTAAAATAATGAGCTTAATCCTAAGTAAATGATCATTTGGGGCAAGCAAAAACCAAGGGCTGCTTGCTTTCCTTACTAGAAATTCCCACTGCATTAAGCTTCATCCCACACATATCGATGAGCAAGGGACCTTAAGGATCCTTGAATGACACTTCATGACAGAAGAGAGCCGGAAAGTTAGCTCCTCTTACATACAAGGAAACTGAAGCTAGAAGAGATAGACAACTCAGTTGGCCTCTACAGCTATTTAAAAATGGAGCTCAAACTAGAATTCAGATCTCTTAAATCTAGTTTCAGGCTCAGGCTGCATGTGGATGGGTCAGGAGAAAGGAAAGAAAGAAGGAAGGAAGGAAGAAGTTTTATTCTGATAGGTTTACTTTTTGAAAAAGAAACCAGGCTGAGTTTATGCATATTTTTCTGTAAGCCAGCTTTAAAATGTTAGTAAAAGATGAATTATTCTTTAGATGTACTCTTAGCCAAGAATTAGCACTGTGAAGCTGTATTCATTGAGCCACTGTGGTGGATTGAGGGGCTGGAAGTGGGTCTGTATCCAGGTCTCCACAGAGGAGCCAAGTCAACTTTTCAGATCTGTTTCCTGAGTGGCTAGCAAAGTAAAATAGGTCATCAGTAAAGTTTTCAAAAGGTTCAACAAATAAACAGAGTCAGAGACTTGAAACATGTGCCATATTTTTAATAGCCACAAAAGAGCCCCCTTCTCTCTGAGCTAAATGACCAGTTGTACCATCATAATTGAAGAGAAATAAAATAGCCAAGCCAAACTGGCAAAGCAAGGCCCCGGCCAGTTTGTCAGCTTGCAGCCTCTTCCGAGAAATCTGAGAGCAAGAAGCTAATGCTAGCCAAAAATGCCAGATCTGTTAAAACTGGGGAGCAGGGGTAGATGAGGCTTTTTATGAGAATGAAGCAGGATGAGCAATTCGTGTATACCCCATGTTTAGGTTTTCCTGAGTTAAATTCACTTGGGACTAACGGGTTGGGGGTGAGAGGGCAGAATCTGCCAGTGGGAAATGAAGAGGTACCACGTGGACTGTGCAAGTGTCCTTATGCCAGGGGAGACTAAAGTTGGAACAGGCTTAAGACCCTTGTCTTGGGCCAGAGGAGTCACACACACATCCTACAAGCAGCTAGCTCTTACCCCAGTGCCAACTTCCCAGCTATCCTGAGTCAAAGGAGAAATATAGTTTGGAGACTAAACAACCAAACCAAAAAAATTCTCCTAGGTAAGCCACCTAACCTCAAGTGAAAAGCACTTTCCTGAGGACAGATATGAGGCTGTTAATGCAGCAAAGAGAGTCTCTCAGATTCTCTAATGTAATTCTTGCATATGTGATATTCTTTCCAAAAGCTTGTGTTTTATTATCCTAATGGAGCGATTTGGCTATTAAAATACTCATTTTTCAATTTGCCTTCTGGAAACCGTTGCTTCTGTGTGTCTTGGGCATAAACAACACATCTTCAAACACTGACCACTTGCCACTTGCTGCTTCTATGAAAAATGACAGAAGATTCTTTTTAAGCCTATCAATAAGAAGCTATAAATGTGACATACCATGCATTTAGTATTGAATTATACCCCAAATCAATAATAATCTGAGGAGAAGTAATCGTAAAGTCCCACTGCTGCCATAACCCAAGCTTACAGCCATACCCCAAGCGTGGGAGGAAAAAAACTGCTTGGGACTGAGGCCATGTATGAAAATATTATTCAAACTACTCCCAAGTCAGAAATTGATTTTTTCTGTGTCCTGACAGCATCGCTTGTTCCTGGCAGGTCTCTGTATTCCAGTAGGATGTTGCATGCAAAGGGATAAATAAAATCTTGTTCGATTTGATGCAAGATTCTTTTTCTTCGTAGTCTGTATATCAGGAGAGTCAGGAAAGATGAGGTGGAGTAATCCGATTCCTTTAATGGAAAGTACCACCATTCCTACCTCTTTAGGATTTGCCTGGTAACACTCGAGTTGAATTCTCCAAGTTATTTTGCTGGTTGAGTATAGAGTATTTTAGTTACACATGTTGAGATTAATTAGTTAGCCCTTAGGAGGTTTTGCCTACAGCCTTCACCTTGCAAGGAAAAGTGTGAATACATTGAGACTACTAATTCACAACAAAGGGCAGATCATAGCCCTCTGCTGAAGTACATTTTTGTTTGTCTCTTTCCTAAACTTTGCTACTGAGTAAACACACTATAAGGCAATGTCCTTATCTATTACAAACTAAATTCCCATGCAACTTAATCTCCAAGTTTCAATGAAAATCTTTTTTGTTTATTTTTAATTTTGGAGGGTGGGGACTCAAACCTTTTGTGAAACCAAATTGGCAATGGGGATTTGGAAGAAGAGGATACAAATATTGTTGCTTTGCTGAAAATCAGCACAACCCTTTTTCCAGATAATCCCAATAATTGTAAAGAAATTGCTCTAGACATAACCACTGGAATGGCAGAATCTATTAAAAAAACTACAAAACTAAATAGGTTATTATAAGCAAAGATCCGATCTGCTTTCAGTGTTTGGTTAAATGCAGGCGAAGTTACGGTCTTGTGCGTAGTTTTAAAGAACAATATAAATGCACTGGAAATGTGATCATTTGATAAACATGTTGATGCCAATATATTTTTGCCTAAATGCAATAAACTCACCAGTAAGTGATGCAAGTTGACAATGGGAGGTGAAAAGAATATCTTGGGAATGTTTGTGGGAGGCAACAGGGAAGCAGCTAATGTTCACAATGCCTAGTGAATTCCTGTGTATTTAAAATGTCAAAGAAAATGTGATATGTTTCTCTAAATTGTGTCTCTCTCTACATGTATAAATGAACAGACGCAGATAGAGCTCAAAAACATGGCATGGATGAATTTATCTCTTCCAACCCCTGTAACTTTGACCACGCTTCCCTCTTTGAGATGGTACAACGCCTTACTTTGGATCACAGACTTAATGATTCCTATTCTTGCCTGGCAAGTATATTCTTTGGTCTAAAGCAATTTAAACATAACATTTTTTTTTCATTTAAATATTTCTCTACCTTTATGTCAGAAGCTCTTTTCTCCATTACAGAATCCCTTTAACAATTATAAATGTGTTCTTGATTTCCTGGGTTGAGATAGTTTTACTTAGCAAAGAAACAAGACTGAGCGGGAGGAAGTTATCAGTAGAAACAGATCCAATTCCCCAGTCTCCCTAGCTTAGCTTCCCCCTTTTCAGCTGCTACATGAGAAATATTCCCAAGAGGGTAATCAAGTTTGGCACCTGCTTGTAGAGAACTTGCAAAAATTGCCTCGGAAGCTTGAAGTTTAAGATGCCCCACTCTCTCCATGCCAGACTTGGTGATCCTATCTTATAAACAAATGTATTCTTTTTGTGTGTTTTTTTTAAGCTTAAAATTATTTGTCAATAAATTTCACTTTTTATAAGCTAAATTGATTTGGGTTTATTTGTTTGGGTGAATTTTTCTTATTCAGAGCATTTTTCACCCTTAGAGGGATTTTTTTTATGGTGCTTTAGATATTTGAAAATCCAGCTATCCATCCAGCAGGAGTATCAACATTTTCTGAAATCCTATTTTAAACCTAAATTTAAATTATTTAAATTCAGGGAGTGTTATTATATCTTTATTGGATTTCTGAAGATACATTTTTGGCTTTAAATATCAAATTCAAAAGCCTAGGGAAAAAAACACCCAATTCTGCAAATCATAAATTGTTACTTCATTTCTTAAAGGTAAATATTATTAATTCCACTTTATAGATGGAAACGGTAAAGGGAAAATGGTGAAATGACTTTGCACAGAGAAAAATTATCATCCCTCATTCTAAATGCTAAAATTAACATGTCTATATGGTATTTATATTATATAATTAACTAAGGATAGCATATTATTGATATTAATATCTACATAACAGAAACCACTGTCTTGTCTAAATGACATGGTTATATCCTAACTCTATTCTGACCTAATATTTATTTTAAATTTCTTAATTTTTTTGTGTCAGAAGCCAAGATCTAAAAAATAGTAGTGGATAAAATAGTCGTAAAACAGAAACAGGACTATGTGGAATAATTTATTAATCTGTGTCTCATGAAAGATTCATTGATTATCTCAGGTTTAGAATCCCTTATCAGAAGAGTATGAACTTTGCCAAGTTGGAAAGGAGTACATCACTTTGATTTTTTTTTTTTAAAAGAGAGAAAATAAAAAACAAACAAAAAAAGCTTACCTTGCATTGCAAGGCATTTTTTCAGATGTATTTCCTACAATTATGTGATTATTCATGTAATTATAAATTGCAGTATGAAACATGTAAGAATATGCCTCTGCACGTACGTCATTCTCTTTTATGTGTAATTCCTATTCTCTTAAGGAAATTGTGAGGTGAATTATTTTTAAGACTTTTTCACAGCATTTTTAAAAACAATTTTTTTGTTTTGAAATTCACCATGCAGGAGAGTTAGTAAATGCTCTTAAAAAATTAAACCAGAAGTGAAATATTGAAGCTTGCTTTCCATTAGTCACTTATAGGCTTAACATGATGGTCCAAAATTCAAAATTAATTATGAATAGAATAAGATAGCTTCCTTTCCCCTTTGTATACCTGTATCTATTAATCATCATTCCAAAAATTCAGAAAATAACAGAAATTAAAAGGACCTTGTCTCCTGCCTCTATATATTCCATTTTCTCATTATTACAATCTTTTTTTCAGTTGGTTTTGGAGACCGACCAGCAGGGATACATAAATTTTTCTGTGTCTTCGACTGAGTTCCTAATTGATATTTCTTCAACTCTTTTCAAAGCAGCTATTTTGGCATCTACAAAAGACTTGGTGTCATCTGAGTCGTAGAAAATATATTTTAATCTTTCACAGCAGTGTTGTTTCTAAGATTTAGCATTTGGGGTAGCAGATGGAGTGGCAAAGAAGTTGCCTATAGGGGCAGCCCACTGCCTCGACTACTCTCCGCCCTCTGCAGTAACTTATAATTTGAAATAGGAAAGATGCCGTCTTTCGTTGGATGCTGCATGTTGTCAATTGAAGATTCCCAGATCCCTAATACAAAATTAGTGTTGCAAAGACCTCCTTTGCTATACTTCTGTGGCCTCTACCTGCCCCCAGTTACTTTCTCTGTTTGCCTTCTCTCTTCCAAGATGGGGCAATATTCAAAAGATGACTCAGAGAAGACCCTTAAAGTAAAATTAAGTTTATATTTAAAGTGTCTAAATTTTCATCTTACAAAGTACCACCTAAATTGGTTTATTTCTTGTTTCAAACAGGTGCTGAAGCTAGAAAATGCAATTTGATTTCAGGCTCTGCCCAATAGTGACCTTGAGTGGCAAGTCACTTGACCTTTCTGAGCATCTGTTTTCTTAAGTGCATAATAGGGGTAGCAGTTTCTATCCCATCATGCCACCAGATCTGCTATAAACCAGAGATTTCTTCTCAGTTCCCTTTTATAGCAGAATTGAGGTGATCGCATAGCAAGCAAATAAAAAAATAAGAAAATAGATAGTTGCAAGAAAAATAAAACAGAACTCTAAACCAGGGCTCAAGAAGTTTTTCTCAGTTTAATCAAATCATATCTGATTCACAACTTGAAAACTTAGTCATGCTGTTCTCTTTGGAGAGTTACATTATTACCTTCATTTTAAATTTTAAAAATATTCCTTCCAAAGTGAAAGGATTTGTGAAGTCCTGGCATGTATGTAGACCAACCTTAAAATTTCTTCATGCTCTAGAGTAGAGAAAACAGAAGATTTGGAAAAAGACAGAGCTGGATCTGAGTCCTGCCTCTGTTTTTTATTATCTGTGTGAGTCACTTAACGACCAGGATTTCCATTTCCTTGTCTATAAAATAAAGATAAACCTTCTCTGTCTAACTTACAGGATAGATACAAGGCCCAACTGAAAGTTCTTTGTCAGGTATAAAGCCCTATACCAACTTACGGCATTAACGTTGTGATTTCCTTCTATCAATAACCACAACTTTGCCCCACCCTCACCCCAATACTCCTTTAAGGTGTGTGGTTCAGTGTTCAAGCAGTAGGTGAGACTCTGTTTCTGAAATCATGCTATCTGTTAATCAACTCCATCACTTGATAAGAAATTCCTTGTCCTCCCTGAACTCAATGTTTCCGTTCATACACCACAGATAACAGAACGGACATCATAAGTCTGTTGTGAGGATTAAGCCAGATAATATACACAATGTCTTGGACACAGTAGTTGGTGCTTAATAAACAAACAGGAAGTGTTAGCTCTGGCTGTTGTTAAGCCCCTTTTCCAGCCATTCTCAATGATAGCAGCTCTCCAGAAAACAACCCATATTTAAAAGAAAGTCTCTCCTTTATTCTTCACACAGGGCTGGTTCAGTCCTGGCCAGGTGTTTGTACTAGACGAGTATTGTGCCCGAAATGGAGTACGAGGGTGTCACCGACATCTCTGCTACCTCAGAGACTTGCTTGAACGTGCAGAAAATGGCGCCATGATTGACCCCACCCTTCTTCACTACAGCTTTGCCTTCTGTGCATCCCACGTCCATGGGAACAGGTAAGCATGTGTCTGTGTGTCTGAAGGTATGCCTTAAAATTGAAAAAAAAGGCAGCAGCAATGATTTATGGCTGATTCTGTTTTTAGGATCATCCAGAACTTTCTGACCATTCTCATTCCCTCAGCAGTATACACACACTAGACACACAAACACAAAGGTCTAACTTGGTTTCTTCTTTTAAGAGATTTTTTTTTTTAATGGCAAACACAGCTTCTAGGGCAAGCTCTAAAGTTAGTTCAATCTAGGTTCAAATCACAGCACCTCGTTGACTAGCAGTGACCCTGGTTAGTAATTAAACTCTTTGTGCCACAGTTTTATCATCTGTAAAATAGGATGATCATATCCTCCCAGGGTTGAGAGAATGCAAATAGATGCAAAGAGCTCAGCACAATGCCTGAAACATGGCAAAAACTTAAGATATATTTGCTTTTGCTATTATCATTTATCCCATCATTATTTAATGATCACTTACTTAGTGTCATGCCCTCTGGTATACATTTAGTATACATGGTGAGTAAAAAATCAGACCCCACACAGGGACAGAGTTACATTCAGATTGGTCCTCTGAGGAAAAGGAATACTTCCATGACAGAATAAAGAAACATGACTCAGAGTGAGTGTCAGGATGGCAAGGAGGACCTCCCTGAGGAAGTGATGCTGGAGCTGAGAACTAAAGCATGTGTAGGAGTTGAGTAGTTCCAGGCAAAAGGAACAGCACGTACAAGTGCCCTGCAGAAGGAGAAAGCCAAGTACATTTCAAGAGCTGAAGCAAACTAGGTAGAACTGCAAGGCACAGATGATGATAACACTTTTCATTTAACCACAGAGACTGGAAGAACTTTAAAGATCACAGTCTAATCAACCCCCTCATTTTATCGATTTTATATACAAGACCAGAACATCAAGTTTCCAGACTTGGTACCAAGTACTCTCTTTCTTTAGACCTTGCCCAGCTCCTGGAGGAAAAGATCCATGTTCTGAATAATGCAAAGCAGCAAATAATTTAAGAACATTGCCATTTGGCTCTGGAGACATGGAATAAATTTCCACACTGCCACAGCCAGTTTACTATCTCAATGTATGTAACCTTGCATTAGTATGAGGAGAAACCTACAGAATCCCAAAGCTCCCCAACCAACAGCCAGTGGAGGCACACCTAGGGACAACTAGGTGGCTTTAACACCCCAGCCTCAGATGAAAAAGTTGCTGCTTGCAGAAAAATCCACATGTGGGTGAATCCAGAATTGACTCCATTTATTTTAAATCAGAACTGTATCGGTCATCCTTCTCTTTGTAAGCTATACAACTCTGAAATACCTGTGGGATTTGTTCTGTGATTTTCCCCTCTCTGGTGCTGGTATATTTTTATGAAATGCAACTTCAACATTTAGAGCTGGATAACAATAGCATTGTAGGTTTGAATATTTAACAGGCAGCAAGGTTATCATCACCTCCCATTGTTACAAGGTTCACTAGCCCAGCACGTGACATTTTATTTGCATAAAAGATACTCATGAAAACTTTGATACCTGGGGGGTATCTGTGCATAATTCTGCTTTTTATAAATATGTACACTTTGATGACTATCTGTTACAGCCTCTTGGACTGAATTTTTTAAAGAGAGAGAGAGGGAGAAGTTGCATTATATTCTCTGGGTTGTCACACTGTATTCTACATATGTTACTGAATAAGAAAGTGTTATAAAATAATGAAGTGTTTTTGTAAACTCCCTGGTAAACATCATCATGAATTATGATACACATTGTCTGGATTTCATATTGTAAGACTGCCACTTGATTCACAGTTAGGTTTATACATCTTGTCATGGAAACAGTTTTGGATTTCTTATTTTCTTTTCAGTTCTGATTTTCCTTATGCAAGTTTGCATCTTTTTTTCTTATTATTTTAGTTTGAATGCATTCGCTTTTGCTTTTTGATGCATCCTTTTCTTTCTTTCTTTTGTTTGTGCATGTGCGTGTGCTCTTGGTTCTCCCATGACTGGCCACACTCTGTGCATGCCTCATGTGACCACCCCCTCTCCAAAGTCAACAAATGCATGTGTACCTTAGTGGGCTGCCACCAAATACAGACCCCGAAGGGAGCAAAGCTCCCTCCCCATCTGAACCAGAGGCTAAAAAAGATACCAGAAAGGAATCCAAAAAGAGAAAAGATTACAAAACCCAAGCAAACCAAGAACCCAAAAGGTAAGACGTTATATGTGTACTGGCTTGTGTTTTGTGGTATCTTTAACCTTCCCCCATCCCTCCATCCATGCCATTACCTCCACCTTTGCAAGTAGCAAGCTTTGTGTATTCCTGAAGTCTGTGTTTCTTTAAGGGTTTTCAAAGGTGCAGTTTTTGTTTAACCCCAACAATAGGCAAAAATATTGTGTATTGGACTGAGTTTGAGTTAGGTGTTTAGTGACTTTCAAAACATGTTCATACTGAAACGTCTATTTGAACAATATATAAACAGAATTGTGAGTCAGATTGCTTTTTTAGTGGCATCTAGTTAGAGGCCTGGTACCTTACCAATTCATTCATAATAAGCAACTCATGCTTTATAATTTTGAGATTACTTTTAGGGAGTAAATAAAATGGGCTGGCATAAGATGGGTCTATACATTTATAGTAGCTCCATTATTTTCAGCAAACTCCTCCCCTCCAGTTCCACATTTATCTCATAAAATGAAATTCATCTCAAATACAAATTTATAATAATTATATAAAATGAAGCCTATCACTAAATTAATGGTTCTTAGTAGAATTACTTATAAAATGAGGTCACCATAAAGGAACATTTAATTTCTAAAATTTTGTTTATCCTAACCTGTTTCCTATGTCCTTTAGGGATGCTCTCTTTGTGGATTGATAAATTGAAAAAATTGGTGCTTATTTTCTTTTTTCTTTTCTTTCTTTTTTTTTTTTTGAGTTGGAGTCTCACTCTGTCACCCAGGCTGGAGTGCAGTGGCACACTCACAGCCACCCCAGCATTGATCTGTTGGGCTACAGTGATCCTTCTGCCCCAGCCTTCCAAGTAACTGGAACTACTGATGTACACTATCATGCCCGACTAATTTTTTATTTATTGTAGAGACGTGGTCTCGCCAAGTTGCCTGGACTGGTCTTGAACCCGCAGACTCAGGCAATCCACTCACCTCGGCCTCCCAAAGTGCTGGGATTACAGGCTGAGCCACCAAGCCCAGCCTTTTTTTTTTCTCTTTATACTAGGTTTACTTATTATTTCCAGTTTTGCCCTCATGTCATTTTTCACCTTCTGTACCCTGACCCCAAGTTAACATGGACACTTTAAAATTTTTATTGTTGTGGTTTTAGAGCTGATCATTCTAATCCTGGCATTGCCAAGTTACCCAAAAGTCACAGGCATGTATGCTTTATGCTTCATTACAAATTTATTCACTGAATATTTCTAAGTCCTGAAATGTATATAGTTCACTTATAGACAAGTCAAATGAAAATGCAAACTTTCACTCTTTAGAGAAGGTGGTAGGCTGTCAATCAGTGTATGCAGGACCAACAGTGAAGGTCGAAGAAAACCCTGCTTCCACGTGGCCACCCATCTCCTTAACTGCAATAAGTAAGGACGGAGGTGAAATGGAGTTTCTGTTTGTGTTTCACTGTAATGGTTAGACTGCAAAGCAATCATAACTTGCAATCAGTAAGAAAGTTCATACAGAATGTTGTAGGTGCGTGAAGGTCAGATCTGACTAAAGGACAAGGCATCAGAGAGGAAGCCTCCCTGGATGCTGTCCAAGGTGCTGCTTTTGAAAGGCTCTCTGCAGAGCAGAGAACAAATGGCCACTGTTGAAAAGCATACATGCTCAAGCCTAATCTGTTTCCTATGCCATGAAAAATATCAAAAAGGATGTTGACTGGCACTTTAAGAAGCTTGTGTGTGTTTCAGAATCTATGTTTGCGTCGCACTTTTTCTAATGAAGAATAAATCATAATATTAAGTATTAGTTGGGTAGCATTCTACAGTTTACAAAGTACTTTCTTTCAAACATTTGCTATAAAATTTTCAGATTAGCCATTTTTACATTAATTTTACAGATAATGAAATTGAATATCTGCAAATTAAATGGCAAACTCAGATATTTGAAGTCACTACATCAGCACTGTATTTATCTGCTGAAGACTCCAGGTGATGGAGCCTGTTTTGCATAAATCTATGAGTATCAGATCCCATTTCTGTGCCTCAGTTTTCTCACTTGTAAAATGAGCAGACTGAATTGTACCTGAAATATCCTTTTAACCTCTAAAATCCTCCTCTATGGGTTACAGTAACTAATGGAAGAGTCCATTGTCAGGTTTCCTAAATAAGGTTCAATTAAAATAAAGATAATCACTACCATTTAATAAGTACATGATGGCTAGGCACAGTGGCTCAGCCTGTAATCTCAGCACTTTGGGAGGCCAAGGTGAGAGAATTGCCTGAGCCCAAGGGTTCAAGACCAGCCCGGGCAAATTGGTGAAACCTCATTTCTACAGTAAATCACAAAAACTAGCTGTACATGGTGCTGTGCATCTGTAGTTCCAATTACTTGGAAAGCTGTGGTGGAAGGATCACCTAAGCCCAGCAGGTTGAGGCTGCAGTGGCCATGAGCATGCCATTGCTCACCAATCTGGATGACAAGAGTGAGACGCCAACTCAAAAATAGATAAATAAATAAATAAATACTTGCTATATGCCAGGGTGCTATGTGAAGTGCTGTTGATACATGTCATCTCATTTTATTCTTATTACATCCTGATGAGATAAGTATCATTATTGCCCTCAATTAATAGATAAGGAGCTTGAGGCTCACATAAATTCAATCACTTGCCTGAAACCTCATAACAAAAGCTGAACCTGATTTGAACATGGACATTCTAACTTTGGAGTTTGTATTTGTAACCACTCTATCTTACTGCTTGTCTAAGATGAGCACTTGTATATGCTGTGAGATGCCAAGTTCAGTCATTTTCCAGGTGAGAGGGTATGGCAGTCATCTGAATTAAAGTGTGACCTGAAGGTGCCCAGAATTAATATGGCCCACCTGGTAATTTTAGCCTTATGGAGAAAATCAATCTATCTGAAGTTTTAGACTACATAAGAGGAGTGTCTCCTTTGAACACCAATTAACAGCCTTTGGTATTGGGGAAACCATGTTCCAAACCTCTTTCATCAACATGATCAGCATTTGCAAGTGGAGATGTTATCCATTTTTTGCTCCAGATTTAAAAAGAATTCAAGACTCATGTCAACAACTTGCCCTTTTATTGCATTTAACTCAACGATGGAGCCCATTCCCATTGTGATCTCATAATCAGTTTCATATTAGGTAAAAAGATAATTTTTGTCTATTATTAACTCAGAAGCCCCATGTATGAAAGCAGAGCCCTTCCCTGCTGCCACTGAAAATCATTAGTGACCAAGTTCCTCCCACCTGCTCTGGAAACCACATTTCTATGATAGATGTGCCACATCTTTGTGAAAAACTAAGCATATGTGAACCAAAACCATTCTAATCAAAAGTAGACATATCTGGTTAATCAGGAAGATGTTTTTCTGTCCATAGTTTCAAGTGCTAGGAGATATGGAACCATCCACATGTTTGGCATCTTAATTAGGGGTAATTTTCACCCTAGAGGACATTTGGCAGTATCTGAAGACATTTTTGATTGCCTCAGTTGAGGAGGGGTGGTGTTATTTTCATCCAGTAAGTAGAAGCTAGAGGTATTGTTAAAATCCTATAAGGCACAGGTGAGCCCCTGCAAACAAAGCCCAAAATGTCAATTGAGCATAGTTGAGAAACCCCGTTTTAAACCAAACTCCTGAGTGATAGAGTGAGACTTCAATTAAAAAAAAAATTTTTTTTTCTCAAAAGAGAGAGAGGAGAAATTTTTTTCCTTTTTTGTGTGGGTTGGTTGTTTCTTTATTACAGAATCTATGTCTAAAGGTATAACAGGAGCCACCACTGATTTTCAGATTGTGCAGTGTTTCTCACACTCCAGTATGCACATAAATCACACAGGGTATTTGTTAAAATGCAGCGTACTAGGTCCCATCCCCAAATAATTTGATTCAGCAAGTCTTAAGTTGAGCTGGAATCTGTACTTTTAATAAGCAACCTCTCCCAACCATGATTCTAAAGCATTTAGTCTTCAGATCACCCTTATTTAAGATCTTGGTTGTCAAGCTAAACTATACATTCAAATCACTGGAGAAGCTAAAAATGCTGATGTCTGGGCCCCCTACCTGCAGAGATTCTAGTTTAATTAATCTTAGATGTGGTCTAATCATCATTAATTTAAAATCTCAAGCAATTCTAATATGTAGAAAGCCTTAAGACCCATTGATTGAGGAACATTAGTTTGGACCAATTCTTTAAATCAGGCTGGGTGCCAGTGGCTCAAGCCTGTAATCCTAGCACTTTGGGAGGCCAAGGTGAAGGGATTGCCCGAACCCATGGGTTCGAGAACTACATAGGCAACTTGGCAAGACCTCATCTCCACAATAAATCAAAAAATTAGCCAGGCGTGGTAGCGTGTGCCTGTAGTTCCGGCTACTTTGAAGGTTGAGGCGGAAGGATCACCTGAGTCCAGCAGGTTGATGCTGGGGTGGCTGTGAGTGCGCCACTGCACTCCAGCCTGGGTGACAGAGTGAGACTTCAACTAAAAAAAAAAAACTCATTTTCTCAAAAGAGAGAGAGGAGAAAAAGAAAAATGTGAGCATGTTCAGCTGGTTGCATTTGGCGATCATAAAATCCACAGATGTAAATTGCTATATCTTCTAATTTTTAAATCAGCTCCTAAGGTTGCAGTACTTAATTTTCACCATAATATTTTTAGTATTCTTTCTAGATGACATTTAGATTAGCATCACTTTGGTCACTGTCCCACAGTGACAAGGCAATCAAACAGCTCTGATGATTGCAAGTTGCGTCAATGTTCCTTGGATCCCTTTATTATTGGGATTGGAAATTTTTCTCATTTACATTATTATTTAACATTTCTTGAATGCCAGTGCTGCTCTTCACATATGGCCTGCATAGAAAGTACATTGTATCAGCAATTAACAAATCCATAATGCCAACCGCCCCAATCCAAAGTAAGCCGCAAAGATTAATGAGTCTGCCAGCAGATGTAAGAGGGCAGGAATCTTAAAAATATCTGAAAATATGTCCAAAGATCTTTTTGGG